GTGGGTGCGGCGGCGGGCGGGGGGGCGGGCGGCGGCGGCGGGGGGGGGCGGGCGCGGCCGCCGCCACGTCGTCGCCACCGCCCCGTCGTCGCCCCAGCACGCCAAGCAGAACGAGGAGGAGGAGGAGGAGGAGGAGGAGGAGGACCCAGGGCGGGCGAGGAGGAGGAGCAGATTGATGATGGAAGGGGGGGGGCGGGGAGGGGGAGGAGGGGGGGAGGTAGGATCCAGGATGCGAGTGAGAAAGGGGGGAAAGTGGCGAAACGAAAGAGGTGGACGACGACGACGACGGCAGCGAGGACGACGACGACGCGAGGTGTCGCGGCCCCCAGGTCGCAGTTTTTCATCCCAGATCGCTCGCTACCCCAGGCTATCCGTCCATCCCCCTCCCTCCCTCCATCCACCCCCCCTCCGCCCCCCCCTCATCGTTTCCCCCCGTCCTAGCTCGCGGCCGCGGCCGCGCGCCCTCAGGGGAGGCACTCTCCACGCGCCTGCGAGGGAGGAGGAGGAGGAGGAGGAGGAGGAGGAGGAGGAGGAGGAGGATGGGGAGGGGGAGGAGGAAGGGGATCCAGGATGGCCCCAGGATGGCGGACAAGGCAAGGAGGAGGTGGAGCGCAAGGAGGGGGTGGAGGGGGACGAGGACATAAGCCTTGATCTGCTTCAGCCAGCCGCCCAGAACACCCCAGAGCCTGGGCAGGGCCCAACAGCGCACAACAGCGCAGCTGGCACGCGTGCCCGGCGCCCCCCTTCCCACCTGCCCCCATTCTCAGGGAAGGCGCGGCGAGATAAAGGGACAGGGGGCGCCGCGCGCGCATGCCGCCGCGCGATGCGCGTCGTTAGGCCCCCCGATGGCCTCCTCTTGAACGCCGGGCGCAAGACCCGACGCTTCATTTCGCTCCATCGGCCCTCCACACGAGTCGGCAAGACGTCGAAGCGACTGTCGTCGTTGTTCGGGGGAATCTTAGTCTGATCATCCTGGAAGGCCATCGGCCCTGGATACGGGCGGCGCAGGAAGGGTTCCAGGGCCCGCGAGGGGTGAACGGGCACACAGAGGAAAGCCTGGGCCAAAGCGCGCATTACAGACCCACCTCTCCCTCGCCTCCACCTCCTCCTGCCTCCCCCTTTTATCAAATGAGTAACTCCCTTGCCGCCCGTCCAGGAGGGGCCCCGATGGCCACTGAGGCCTTTCGCGGATCGACCCAGCGCGAACAAAAAATTGAGATGCGATGGGGTCGAGAGCTCAGGCCCTAACCCCACGTTTTCAGGGCGTGTCTGATATTTTGTCGTTGTGTTTTGTTTCAAGCTCGAGGCGTCTTGTGAGGATGCGCGTTCGTTTCCTCTCTATGTTGTTCTCCCCCGTGTTGTGCCAAAGGCTGGCTCGAGCGCGCTCGAGCACCCCGCTGGCCTGCGCCCGCCAGCCTCGCTGCTGGCTTCAGCAGGCCAGAACTCTTGAAATGTGGCGCTGCCGCCGCTCGCCGCTGGGGTGGAGGAGGTGGGAGATGCGCAGTTGCATGGTGAAGTTCAGAGGACGGGGGAGGGGGCAAAGCAAAGAGACGTGCTGGAGGACGACGGCGGCATGTCGGCTGGGCAATCGGGCCTGACGGTGGCTACGCCCTGGCCTGGACGTCTGGCCGCGGCGAAAGTGAGGGGAGGGGGGATGGATGGCAAAAGAGTGCGAGGAGGAAGAAGGAAGCGGCTCGCGCCAGCCGCCCGGCTGGCACTTCAAGCTGCGGCCTCGCCGCCTGCAGCCTCCGCGCCTCCGCCGGCGCCAGGCTCCCCCGAGCCCGCTGGCTGCTCCGCCTTCTCCTCCAGGGCCTGGAGCTTCTGCTTGACCAAGGCGGGCATGGACCCCCAGATCTTGAGCTTGTTCTTGAAGTCTGCGATGTAGCTGGCAGCTTTTGAGCCGGCCCTCTCCTGGATTATCGCCACGGCGCCGCGGACGGCGATCTGGTACCGGGCCTTCTTCCTGGCCGCATCCGCCCGCGTCGCCGTCGTCTCGAGATCCGAGACGTCCACGGCGGTGCCCTTGAAGCCAGTCACCCACTCCATTATGCGGCCCTGGTTGTCGTTGATCTTCTTGACGCCGTCCTTGAGGCTCTGCCTGCCCTCGAAGTTCACGAAATTGGTCGCCGCCTCCTCGTCCCATTTCTTGAAGGTGCTGCCCACGTGCAGCAGGTGCTTGTCCATCTCGTCGCAGACCCCCGTGAACTGGACAGTGATATCCTCGATGTGCATGGAGATCTCCCCAGCCATCTTGATCTTGAAGAGCTTCAGCCGCTGGCCGAGGACCCCGCCCCCCGGCGTGCTCGACAGCGGCCCCGCGTTGACTTCGATGTCTTTCAGGACCTGGCCCGCCGCCGCGATGTAGGTCGAGCCATTCGCCGAGGGAGTCTCCTTCGAGAAGGCGGCGACGTTGACCATCGCAGGCAAAGCCTTGAGGCAGACCTTGGCCTCGTCCTCATTCGCCTGGCTGTCAGCGACGGGCTTGCCCAGGTTCTTCATGGTCTGGCAAGCGCCCAGGATCTGATCGAAAGCGGCGGTCGCCTCCACTACGTTGGTACTGACCACCTTGTTCATAATGCCGCCATCGATTGTCAGCTCCTCGTTCATGAAGGCGCCCAGCTCGACCTGGGCAATGGGCATATCATTGCCCGAGCGCCGATTCCACATGTCCTCCATGCACGCGATCGCCGAGTCCTTCAACGCACCCGCCCTCGTGCCCAGGTGCACCCCGGCACCGATCATCGAGCGGCACATCTGCATGCCCTCCGCGGTGTCCTCCTCGACCCTCGATGTGGACTCAGTGACGAGGTCGACCTTGGCCGTCTCCACTATTGCTGCCGCGCTGGCGACGAGGTCATTGATTTGGTCGGAGTGAGCTTGGGAACAGCACGAGCCCACCTGCGCGAAGAAGACGAAGCATGCCTGCGCCGTCGACTCGTGGCCCTCGCAGAAGGGCCCCCCCGGCGTTGTCTTCTTCACCACCTCCGCGAACTGGGCCAGCACCTTGAGGCCCGACTGCGGGGCGATCTCGCCCGCCGAGCCCTGGGCGCTCTTCACAGCGATCCGAGCTTTCATGTCCAACTCCGCGCGGACCGCCCTGAACCTATCCAGCTCGGCAGAGAGGTCGCCCAACTGCAAGGCCTTGTCCTTGTCCTCCACTAGGTTCGTGGCGCGAGCCGAGCGCGAGAACTCGGCGACGCACCAGAAGACGAGGGCCGCAGCCATCCTCTTGCTCCAGAGGTCGAGGCAGTGAACCACGTGACTCACGTCGTCGGCGTACTTCTCATGGTCCGAGCGCAGCTGGGAGCAGACGTCGCGAAGGGCGGCCGCGGCCTCCTGCGCTTCCTTCATGGAGCCATCGTAGTCGAATAAGTCAGCGGTCGGCACCAACAAGATCGCTGGGAGGTGCGGCTCCGACTGGTTGGGGGGCCAACCGCGCGACGTCGTTGAGGCGCATGTTGCTCAGGAGCTTATCCATTGTAACCTTCATCTCCAGGAAGCGCCGCCGCTGCCCCTGGCGCGCGACCGTGCCTGCGAGGATGGCAAAAGGCCAAGTGGAGGAGGGGGGGTGCACGAGGGCGGGGCGAGGGGCCCAGAGACGCTGGGGAGGAGGGAGGGGCAAGGGCAGGGAGGAGGGGGGAGGTGCGGGCGGGGGATGGCCGGCTGGTCGACGGCAGCGGGTCGCGGCGTCGAAGCAATCGAAGCCACAGGGGCGGGGTCCGCGGCGGGCTCCCGCTGCGGCTCGGGCCCAGACCATCGATCGTTGGCGGCGCAACCAGCAAGGGCAACGATCCGTGGCAGCGAGGGCTGTCAATGGGGGAATCGATCACAGTGGGAGGCGGGCCCTCGTTCTCCACTTCCACGTCGGGTTCCGGGAGAAGCTCCGTGCGCCAATCCGTGCGGGGCTCTGGATGCTGAATGATGGTGAATGATGGTGGCGAAGGTGGCGATGGCCACGGCGGATCCCACGTATTGTCTGGTTCCGATGGAGGCTCCGTGCAGGGCTCTGAGAGGGTGAATGTAGGTGGCGCAGGTATCGAGGTATCGAGTATCGACGTATCGACGGCCAATCGCCCCCCCCATGGCCCATGGCCCATGGCTGATGATCCTGGACCACAGAAGTCGTCGCAATCAACATCAGGGCGCTCAGCCTCGGTGGGGAATCAGGGCCGGAAGCCGAATCCCGCGCGATTGGTCCAGGCGACGATCGACAATCGGATCGATCCTCATCGCCCGCCACTCGCTGGATCGATCGCAGGAGCTATCTCGCTGGCCAGCCAGAGCGAGCACCGCCCGCGCGGGCCCACGGGGTTCCCAAGGCCCCATCGCACCGCCAGGGTGGATACGGCGTGGGCCACATATGGGGCCAGGGCGAGACAGGCCACCGACGTTAGACAGGCGGCGGTGCGAGAGGAGGTGGAGGACAGAGAAGGAGGATTGCTGGATGGTGTCTAAATCGGCCAAAAGATGCAACCCGATTCGCTTCGATGAGTCGGAGCTCCGAGAAACCAAATGGACCAGTCCATGGGGGGCGGTACAGGGCGACCTCACTCAGGCCCTGAGAAGGCTGGGGGCCCGCGTCGCTCTCTGGAAACCTCTGAAGGTCCTGACCCGTCCTCACGGCGACGACGACGATGGCGACGCCGCCGCCGACGACGACGACGACCCCGTCGCCCGCCAGGCGAAGGCCCCCATGGCAGCGGAGCGCTCTGTGGGCCAGGCACTCCGACGGGACAGCAGGGAACTGGGGAGGGGGAGGAGGGGGAGGAGAAGGGGGGGGATGAGAGGATGAGGGAGAGCCCTGGGAGCGAGAAGCATGGGGAGCGAGGAGAGGGCACGAGGAGGACGAGGAGGAGAAGGACGACGACAACGACGACGACGAGGAGGCGAAGCGAGAGGGGAGGTGGAGGAGGGCGGGCGAGGGTGGATAAGGGTGAGAGGATGGTAAGGAGTCTAAGTTAAGGGAGGGGCTTATTTTGAGCAAAGCCTAGCCCTGGAGCCTGCCAAGTATTCCGCAGCGTCCTTCAAGAACGCGCCCCGGACCTTGCTGTGCGCCGCCTGGGCCAGGATGCCGTCCGGCGCCTTGTTGGACCACGCGCCCAGGGCGATCCTCAGCTGCGCGCCGCTCTCCTCAGCGTAGTGGACCACGGCGAGAATCTGCTGGAGGGTCTGGATGATCTGGGGCCCCAAGGCATTCGCGAAGGCCACATCGTTGATCTTCCCGAGCAGCTCGGTCATCTCCGTCTCGATCTCGAACCTGACCTTCTCTGCGTTCTCCGCGTCCTTCCTCGCGTCGAATGGGCGCCGCTTGAAAATCTGTCCAATCAGGTTGGCGATGATATCCTGGTGAAGAGCCGCCCTGTCAGCCGCGCGAACCACATGGGTGGTGACCTGGTCGGTTTTAGGGGTCGGGCTCATGATGTCCAGGATCTCGGAGATGGCCGACGGCGTCGCGTCAGTCTTCTCCTTGCTCAGCTTCTGCAACATGGCCGTGGCACCCCTCGCGGGGGGCTGGGTCAGCTTCTTGATGTTGGTCCACTCGGTGTGCATAGACTGGAAGGTCGCCTTCGCCTGCCCCGGCAAGTTGAAGACCCTCAGGTAACCCGCGACGGGGTCGATGTTGTCAGAGGCGTTCCGAAAACGGGACAACACGCGCCGACGCTCCTCATCATCAGTCTGCTTCAGCAAATGGTTCACAGCTGCCTGGCCGCTGCGCTTCGTCGTGTGCCAATCGCCCACCATGCGCTGCAGTGCCCTGCCATTCGTATCGTCGAAGTCCCCGTTCGTCAGCTTGGTCGGGATCTGCTCGAAGAGGTTCGACAAGTCCTCCAGCGTCTTCTGGTGGCCGCCCGTCAATTCGGAAGAGTCCTTCTTCATCTTCTTCACAGGGCCAAGTGAACCTGATGCCACCGAGGCAACGCGGCTGCCCATTGGCTTCTTCGGGGTGGGCGTGTGAAACTCCACCTCAAACTCACCGTCAGCGGCCACGGAGGCCGCCGCGCTGGCTGCGGCGGGGGCCTTGCGGCTTCCCCCACTTGCATTCTGCTTCGCTTTTTTCTTGGGCGGGCGGTCGGAATCCTCGTCGCTGCTGTCGTCGCCCTCCTCAGAACTGTCGTCGCTGTCGTCGCTGCCCTCGCTGTCCGACGATGCCTTGCCCCCGTCGGCGGTGTCAGGGAAGGCCCCCTGCTGGACCTCCAGCGCGGCAGCCCTCTGGGCCTCCGCGCGAGCCTGAGTCTCCTCGAGGGTGAGGGCGCCGCGGTGGTCAGCCTCGGCGTTCATCTCCTCCGCCACTTCATTAGCAGCCTCCTCCTGCTGCTCGGCGTCGAGCACCATGTCGCCAGAGTCGCGAATCTCCGCAGACTTGTTAGTGACCCTCCTGCCCGACTTGATCTTGCACACCCCCTTGCGGCCCTTCACCACGGCCACGCCTCTGACAACCTTGCCAGCGCTGTTCTTCATCTGGATGATTTTGGCTCCATTTTTTGGGGTCCCCAAACTCTGACGTGCAAGCGCTGAGCTCCCAAAACTCTTTCTCTGGGCCCTCCAACTCATTATAGATCTCCTCGTCCTTGGAAACGATGTTCTTCATCTTTCTGACCCGGCTGGTTCCGCCTGCCCGCAGGTTCACGTACTCTTTGTAGCCAGCCTTCCACTTCCGCCCGTTACCTTTCTCCTCCTTGAATTTCTTCCCGACGAGGCTGATCTTCGTGATATTCCAGTTTTTTGAAGCGGATCCTGAACAAGGACACACAGATGCCGCACCAGGATCCCTGGGGCTTCTTGTAGATCAGGCCTCTCTTGTTTACCCTCTTCGTCTTCCCCCACGTGCAGATCTGGATCTTGTCCATCTTCGCATCGGTGCGGCACTGGGGCGACGAGGTGAGGGAGCAGCCATCGCACTGGAACACCTCGCTCGTCTCATAGGGCAGTTCGTCACCAGCTCCTGTTTTGCCCGCCATCTCCTGGGTCTCATCCTCAGCCGCCTCCTGGGGCGCCCCGTCGTGATTCGAGCTGTGCTACTCTGAGCCCGAGCCCTCGGACATGGCATCCAACTCCATGCTCGCGCCGCGGCAAGCCTTGGGGGGCCAGCGAGCCTGGAGGGGCCGCGGGTGGCGCAGCGCTAAATGGCACCTCTCAGCAAAAATTGCTATAGGGGGGGGCCCAATGGGCGAGGGAGGGGCGGTAAGTTGGACAAGGGAGTCACGAGGATTGAGGTTTGAAATTTTCTGGCCATTGTGGGGGCCCCTCGTCGCCACAGCCAGGCGCGGCTTGGAAAGCTGGACGTCAGCTCCTCGAGGAAGTGAGCGCAGGGGGCCCCGCGGCCAAACCGGCACCGCATCGGCCGACAGAATGAGTAGAGAGGAGGGCCTTTGCATCGGAAGACCAGGGCCGAGCATGCAGCATGCCAGCACGCGGAATGGGCACATGGGGCCATCGCTCGGGGCTCGAATGAAAACCGCGCCTGCCACAATACTCGCTCGGCGCAATCACTGTCTGGAGCTAATCGGGATTGCCTGGGGCCGCTGGCGATCGGACGGGGGCCCAGAGGTCCAGAGCAGCGAGGCTAGTCGGAACAACTCAGGGCTGATTGCAGATAAACGCAGCCCCCCGCAGTTCAAGGGCCAGGCGGCGGGCAAAGACGGGCCTAGTGGGCCGAACTCTTGTTGGCGCCATGCATCTCCTCTGCGCGCGTGTGAGATCTCGCCGGCGCAGGTTGCGCAAGACACGCGCAGTGGTTTCCCCTGAGGGCTGCCCGTCGCAGGGACGGACACACTTACCCCCCTTCCCCAGCCTAGCCTATAGATTATTTCCCTCGTGTCCCTCTATCCTGTTGCTGCTGCTACTCCTCCTCTCCCAGGCACATCCCCTTCCTGGGAGCTGCCGACTGCCCGACTGTCGCCCTTTTCGCGAGTTCGCGGGAAGGGGGGCCAGCAGGGGGGAGTGCGGTCCGATCCAGATCGAGGTGGGGCCTCGCCTACCTGGGTGCTGCCGTCTGCGCAACTCCCGCAACTTTCAAGATCCCCTGGGGAATGTTGTAAGGAATGGAAACTTGTCGCCAGTTTGATGTTTGATGCCTGCCATGTTTGGCGCGTTGCGTGGATGTGTTGCTGCGTTCGTGCCACTCGCCCTACTCGACCCCCGCTCCTCGCCCACCCTCGCCATCCCCCTCGCGCCCCGCCTCGCCTCATCCCGCGAGGCATTTCCAGGCACGTCGCGGCATCGCCGCGCTTCGCCCTCCAGTTGAAGCTGCCCGTGCAGCCGCGGGGCGATTGATCGATTGGGCGAGGCGGGGGGGGGGGGGCGGGGAGCAGGAGGAGGAGTTGGGCCAGTGGCCAGAGGATCAGGATAAGGGGGAGGAGTGGCAGGGGGAGGGGGAAGCGCAGACTTCTTCTTTCTGAATCATCAGAGGGTGTGCTGAATTGCTCGACGGGCACAGGCTCGACCAGCCCAGAGACCTAGGACCGCCCCAAGCTGGCCCAGAGACCAACTCGCAGCTGGATCGCTTGGGTCGCTGGCCCAGCGCGCAGCTGGATCGCCTGGGTCGCTGGTCTAGCAAAAGCTGCCTGGCACCTGCTGTACTAGTGCCGCGTGTCAGCGAGCCCCTTCCCGATGTCCGCGCGCTTGAGGACCGCAGCGAGGACGCAGCCGATGGAGGGGGCCGTGATCATGTTCGCGACCAGCTGCGTGCACGTGCTGTGGTTGATGCCGTCCAACTCCAGTTCGTCAGCGGGCCACCCCTGCAGCTGGAAGGCCTCCTTAGTCAAGAGCAACCTGGCACTGGAGGGGAGAGCGGAGCGGTCGCTCCCCGGCGCGATCACGATCTTTGTGCTAGTAGTGAACGTCGGCATGGCGTAGCCGCCAGAGTATGAGCAGGCCCCCATGGCGTTCTGGCTGACGTCCACATTGAACCAATCCAGGCGAGTTCCTCTGCAAAGCGCGGAGCAATGCGATGTCGGCGATGTCCTGCTCGCGGAGGGTCAACTCAGCCAGCGTGGACGCTGGCGCGCACGTTTGAAAGGGGCGGCCAGCTGGCGTTCCCCGTAGCTCCAGGTTGCCATCGGACCGAGCCCTGTCGCTCAAGAGGACGCCGTCAACTGTCATCGCAATCGACCTGCTGCTTTTCCGCCACTTCTTGGGGACAACAGCGCCCACCTCATCCTCAATGAGGAAGTCCTGGATGTGGTATTGCACGCTTCTGTCGTCGGCCAGGGCGTTGAGGGACGTTCTAATCTCGTTGAAAACTTTGTCCTTGCCACCGCCCAATTCGGTAATAGTTGGCTTCGCCAAGGGCTATGAAGGGACGCGTGGATAGTTTTTCCTCTTCGAATTTCATTTTAGTGGTCTCGTGCCGAACAACGACAGATCTTATTGAACTGATCTGCTCAACAAAAAAACAAACGCGCACAAAATCCACTGCGGATGCCCTCAGAGGAAAACGAACAATGGAATGCTGCATAAGCGGCGCCCGCGTTCCGCCCGCAGTCCAACTGCAGACAAAACCACAAACCAGCAGGTCCCGAGAAGGATTGCAAGCAGGCCCCAGGGTCCCAAGACAGGCTTTGTAGGGGTCCAAAACAACTTGCAGACCTGTTTCCTCGCATATGTTCTGACGCGTTTCGGCCGTGGTCCGTGGGATTATACTGTTCATCCGCCTTTTTGCCTTCATTTCCGACGCCTCGCGTGTTTCCGCCAGCCAAGGCAAAAGCAATCGCCAGGCGAGTTGCCTCGATCAGCATGTGTAGCAGCATGCGGCGCCGCAGCGAACCGAATGCGTTTTCACTGGTTCTGTACGGGAGGAGGAAGAGGAGGTGGAGGAAGCGACGGAACAAATATGGTGGCGAAGGACCAGTAGTAACGAAAAAAGAGGAACAGCAGAAGGATGGACGCGTGCTGGAGGAAACAGCAACATGCTAGAGCATCAGAAGGTCGGAAGGATGATGAGGGACCTGAGGGGGGGAGGAGGGTTACGAGGAGCCAGGGGGAGGTAGCAACCGCATTGGTGATCCGCGCAGAACACCAGTGCGCCGCATCCTTTCGTAAACGAGGATGTAGGAATGTGCCAGATGGGGAGGTGGGGGGAGCATGGGGGAGGTAGGAGGACATGGGGGTAAGAACGCTCAGGACGAAGCAGTTCCAGAGACGGTGCCCAGGCAAATTGTGTTCATCAGAAACGTGTGCCAGCATGGTGCTCAACCAAGAGGGCGACGCTGTTTACGTTAGAAACGTGAGGACGGCGCAGGAGGAATCGGAGGATTAACAGCAGCGGAGAAGGAGGACAAGGAGGAGGATGACGAGGAAACGGAGGAGGGGCGGGATGAGGACGAGGAGTAGGAAAAGGAAGGATGGGAGAGAAAAAGTCACGACGACGGCCAGAATCAATCATGGAGGATTTTGTTTGTTTTTCGCACACGGCTCTTGTTAGAAGCCCCTTGGAGTGATTTGTGGGCCATTGTGGAGCTAATTTGGAGCCATTTTGGGAGAGCCTACGGGGTCCTCTTGAGGCTGTTTCGGGCCTCCTTGAGATCCTATTCGGGGTCTCGTGGGCCCGTCTTGGAGGCCTTGGGGGCCCTCTCGGGGCCATCTTGGAAACGCCGTCAGTCAAAGAGTACGGGGGGAGGGTCCTTGCAGCGCCCCCTCTCTGGAGCCGCCCACGTCGCCTCTTGGCGCTCTCTTGGGACGTTCTTCGGCTGCTCTTGAGCGCTCTCGGCGCCGTCTTGGGGCCTGTCGGGTTCTTCTGGAGGGCCATCTCAGGCCAGCGTGGCCATCTTGAGGCCTCAAGAGCCCATGGAAAACGAAAAGGCGGCGAGACATAACGCATAGCACGCATTGGCGTTCACTTTTTTTGTCTTGGAGGCCTCCTTGGAGAGCTCGAAGGGCACGCGGGGCCGTCTTGAAGCGGTCTTGACGACTCAGAGGCATGTTGGAGGCTCTTCGGAATCGTCCTGGGATGCATTGAGCGATATTGGAGGCGTATCTGGGCTCCTTGCAGCCATCTCGGATACATTTTGGGTCGTATTGGGCGCTCCAACGACCCGCGGCTACCTTCCCGCGCAGGAAGGATTGGGCGGGGAAATGGGGAACCGTGTCTATGAAGGGGAAGAGTGGGCTTGGATGAATTACTTCGTCACGCCGCTCACGCTTAAAGGGGTGCTGGGATTCCTGTCTCCCTCCGGCCCTCTCCTGTGGCGTGCCCCTCCACTCCCTGTGACTTCCCCCCCCCCCCCCGCCCTTCTTCCAGGCTCCGCGCGCGGCCCAGTGAAAACTTCGGGGAGAAAAACAAAAACTCGTTTTGAATACCTCTCCGAAATCTTGGTGGATTTTTCCTTGGGCGCGCGCATCGAAAAAACGCGCGCGGAAAAATCCGGAGGACACCCGGGAAAATTCACGCGGTTTCTGGGGAAAATTCACATTTGGATTTGGAAAAATCCGGGCAGAATTCACTCGAGAATCCGGGATAGTATTCCCAGGCGGCCGTGGAAAAATCCCACCAGCCATGCAGAGCGTGGGTGGTGGTTTAACGGGCTAGCTTATCCGCGCGTTTCTCCCCGGCAGGGACGGGCCCCCCCCCCCGCCCCCCCCTGGCAGGGGCGTGGACAGAGAGTGGCCGCGGGGCGGTGGAGTGCCCGAAATGGCCGAAGATGGCTCCAAAGGAACCGCAGGCAACCCAAGAAGGATTCCGAGATCGCTCCAGATACTTGCAGATGGTACAAGTTTGCTTCCGATGCGCCTCCAAGCCCCCTCAAGACCGCTTCGTGACAGCCCGCAATTGTCTGTCGAGCTCTTGAGGGAGGCCTCCAACAGGTTCAACTCCTTTACAATCACTGTGCGCTTCAATTTGTTTCTTCTCGCCTTTTTGCTTTCCGTAGTTTCTAGAGGCCTCGAGATGGCTGCGAGTTGGTTTGAACTTGCTTTGAGAGGGGGCCATCAGGGCCCAACTCGGCTCCAAGAGCACCAAAGT